ACCCGATCATCACTGCAACTGGGGGTCAAGCAAACAAACTCCTCTTTGTCCAACGTACTTAATGCCTTTCTCGTGCGCTGCGTAGCGTTTTTCGGTAGTTCGATGAGTTATATGAAGCAGCAAATGTTTTGATAAATCACTATTACTATGCAATAAGGTAAAATGCGATAAATGGTGTTGGCGGCGGTATTGGCAATAAATAGCGGTACTATGAAATTTTAAGTAAAAGAATATTTCAATTCAGATATTGTAAAATTGTTAGAATGGAATGAATTGGAGGCATTCGTAGCTAGGCAGGTGGAGATATGTATGTACATACAGTGACGAGCAAAACTGTAACACGGTGTAACACTTTTTACTTCAGCCATCGCTATCTTTCCAAGTTCTAACGACCATGTTACAGTTTTGCTCGTCACTGTAAGTATTGCCACTCGATATGACCCAATTTCAATCCTTGGACCGCGAAATATCCAAAAATTATGGAAATAGTTTTTTTTCTAATACCGGTCGCCCCTCGTTCAGTTGTGCCAAAATGAAATTTACTGTTCAAAATAATCTAGAACCCTAATTTTAGTGATAGATGCCCAAGTGGTCTTAAAAAAAAAAATTTTCTTGCCAAAATTCAAATTCTCGAAAATACAAAATCCGTAATCCGTATTTACTTGTGAAACTCGAAATATTCTATTAAAAAATTAAATGAATCGCGTAAAAGAAATTTTTGCAGTATTTGTTTTTCGTAACTTTCTATATACACTGACGGTCAAAAGTGCCATGTATGGTATTTTTTGTTTTCAATGTTATTCAAGCGAAAATTTTTCGGTTATTTTTTATAGCAAAATGGTCCATGCTTTAACGCTTTACATTTTCAAACTTTATACAGAATTTAGAAAAATTCTAGGAGTTGTTATCTAAATTTCGAGTTTTTAAACCAGAAGTTTTTTATTAAATAAAATTTTAGTAAATAAATGCAAGTTTAGAGCGGCTACAAAATCGCATCCATTTTTAATATAGTTTTTTTTTGCTGACGGCTTCTGCGGTTTTTTCAGATAAATAGCGGAATTTAGGAAAAAAGGCGTTGAATTTTTTTTTATTTATTCGCAAACGGTCTTGCATATATTGAAAATGTCCAAAACGCCGTCAGAAAAAAAATATATATATATAAAAAATCAATGCGATTTTTTTAGCCGCTCAAAACTTACACTTATTTTACTAAAATTGTATAAGCCTGTTAGCTGCATACCCAAAATTGTTATAAAAGTTATGATTAAAAAGCTCAAAATTTTTATGAAAATTTGTTGAATTTTTCCGAATTCTCTATACAGCCCGAAAGCTTTATTTATATGGTTTTGGTTAAAGCATTTCTATAAAAAAAAATAAATAAAAATTTTGCTTGAAAAACATTGTAAATATCAACAAGTAATTTGTAGCAAAAAAAAAACGACTCCAATGATCGGATCTAAACCTGATTAGTATGGGACCACCTCTGACACACTACCTTTCCGATGCAAAAAGAATTATTGAAATCGGCTAACGTGGCCCAAAGTTATGCGGTAAGATACATAAAAAAAAATATTCCGACGAACTGATAACCTCCTCTTTTTTTTGGAAGTCGGTTAAAAACAAAACACCGTTGATCCGCTTTTGACCGCCAATGTAAGTAAATCCACAATGAAAGTTTAATTTTTCCCGAAGGCGACATGCAAATATTGAAAATATTTTACTTAGTATTCGTATTAGTACTCTTTGAAAAAAAATATAAACAAGTAATTTTCAGCAAAAAAAAACCGACTTCAACTCTCATATATAAAAAAAAAAAATATATATATATATATCTCATGATCCGCTGATCGGATCTTAACCAGATTAGTATGGGACCACCTCTGAGACACTACCTTGCAAAAAGAATTATCGAAATCGGTTGACGTGGTCCAAAGTTATGCGGTAACATACATACATAAAAAAAAAAAAAAATTATATTCCGACGAACTGATAACCTCCTCCTTTTTTGGAAGTCGGTTAAAAAACAAGTAATTTTTAGCAAACAAAAACCGACTTCAATTCTCATATAAAAAAAATGATCGGATCTAAACCAGATTAGTATGGGACCGACCACCCCTGAGACACTACCTTTCCGATGAAAGAAGAATTATTGAAATCGGTTGTGGTCCAAAGTCATGCGGTAACATACATAAAAAAAAATATTCCGACGAACTGATAACCTCCTCCTTTTTTTGAAGTCGATTAAAAATAAAAAAATTGTAAAAAGGAACGTACAACTCAGATGTGCTGGATTACGAGTTTGTTCTCCGAAAACGGCCAGCTGGTGCCCTCTTTCAGAAATATCCCTCCATATTTACTTATTTTTACTTGAAATGAAAGGGTTTAATAAAAATTAAGTCTTTGACCGAGTTTCCCTTCCACTTTGTGATTAACTCCTAAGGCTGTGGAAAAAAATGCTTTCTTTTTTTAATGTTCGTTATTATTTTTTTTTATAGAAAATTCAATAAAACAAACCAAATTTGTCAAAGTTTAAAACTTTGTGCACGACTCAGGAAAATTTAATAAATTTCATCAAGATTTTCAACTTTTTATTAAGAATTTTTAGAAACTAATTTGGCACGTATGGCCAAAATCTATTTTTAAATGGAGGAGGAGGTGTTGCCCTCGACAAAAAGTTCTCATAAGTCGGGTTTCTTTTAATTTTTGATGAAAAATTTTAGAAATTTTTAAAATTTTCCTGAATTGTGCACAAAGTTTTAAACTTTGACTTATATGGTTATGTTATAGAATCTACTATATTGTAAAAAATAAATGTGTGCTATTTACGTAAGCGCCATTGTATATCTGGCACATATGTATGTTTGTGCATTAGGGCGGGTGAAATTTGTTCTCTACTTGGTTTCGGCGACTGGCGAAGTCTACTGGCAAT